GCCAACAGGAAATGGTTCCAGCCATGCCATGTGAACCGATTCAGCTGAAGACGAGCACACGAGCTGCGTCTAGGAACCCATTAAGTGCACTGTGCTTTTTCTCCTGTGGCCTGCGCAGAAGGGCCTGATCCACATTTCCCTCACCCATAGGACTGTGCCCACGACTCTCTACCCGTACCAAGTTGTATCATCGGATGCCAGAGGGAGAAGAGGCCCGCGGTGAGAGCCTGGAGTGCTGCTTATTCTATTTGACCATAAGTAGTCTACAAGTGTTTGTCTTCAGGGAAGGTTTGCTGAGGAACCAGGTCAGTGAGGTCGCACAGAGGAATGTTTGCCCGTTACCGTGTGACTGGTCAACGCCAGTGATGTTGTCTTGATGCAAAATAACAGATGAGGCAAAGGCAAGAATCAACACAAACATCTATTATACCATTTTAATGTACGTATGTTTTGTTGCTGCATTTAAAGTGTCCCTGTGCTTTAGTATCTGATTAAGATGAAGCAATAAGCAAAACCTTGTTTTTTAGAATGATGGTAGTTTACTCTCAAAATGTCACCCTTGACTTTGGTCTATGATGAATTTTTAAAGTTCTTTATAAAGTAATAAAATAACAGGTATATTCAGGTCAGAATCAATAGCAGCGGTAAATTACTAACACCTCCCGGCACACATCTCCCTTCCCACATGCCCTGCATTTTTTGAGCAAAATTGTATTTTAGGATTTAACTTGCAGTGACCCGGCAGCAACACACTTCAGACATGCATACATTCACATTTAGAACCAGTAAAGTCAATATGGTTCCACCTCTCGGGCTAGATGATCTTCTTCATTTTTTTCATCTATGTAAACTTGCATATATATATTTATGTTTCTGTACAAACCAACAACTGTCAAAACGAGTACAGTATGCTTGGACGTTATTATGGCATTTTACCACGATTTCATTCAACTATATGATATACCTTGTATGAATGAACATATGTATGAAGTCTAGGATAAAAAATATCAGAAAATCTTCAGTCTTGGGGGGGGGAGACAGGGAGGAGGTTAAAGACAAGTGACCATGGCACTCTAGAGAGCGATGAGCTTGGTGTTCACTTCCTGCCTCGTGTCACTCAGCAGCTTCTTCAGAGGACAAATCCTGTCTTTCATATAAAACCAGAGGGACCACAGCTCCTCCCCTTCCGTCCCCTCAGAGTCCGATCCGTCCCCTCCCCGTTATGTCCCTCAGCTCGTCCGGCCCTGGACTCCAGGAGGCGATATAAAGAATAGCCGGTTAAATAAACAAACAGATAAAGATGCGGCTTCTCGATATATTTATTTGCTCGTCCACCTTCACGCGAGGACACGGAGACATTTGGCCGAGAGCTGAAAGAGACGAGCTGCCAGAAGCTTTGGGCTCAGCACCTGAAGCTGTCAATCTCCTCTGGAACGGGAACATTTCGACACTTGTTCCTT